TTCTACATATTTTCTTTCTCTCTTTCGATTTCTCTCGATCACTCTCCGTCTCTCTCTGTTCAACAGTATAAATAGCCGATGATATCCAGCAAAAAGCAATCATTTTGATTATCGTCGCTACGTTGTTTCCAGCAATATTCTTCTTATTAAGGTAAGTACTCGAAAGTTCTTTCTTTCTAATCACTGCTCCAGTTTATATTTTTTGACTTTATAATTTTGTTGTCTATACTTAACATCAAAAGATCTGCTGTTGCAGTTTATCCTGGCAGAATCAACTGATTTTATGATAGGGTGTCTTTATTCTTTAAAGATTAATTTTAAGCATGAAGATATATCTTCTTCGGATTCTTCTTTCTGAATCTTAAATAGATATGCCATCAGATGAGATCCTTAAATAAGATTCAAATCTGTCATGACAGTTTCTTCACATGAGATCTAATGATGAATAGGTGATTTGAAAATTTTACCATCGAATCCTTGCTAGAGATATATGCCCCTTCATAATATTCTAGTAACTTTGAAAAACTATAGTTTTGTGGTAAGTTTCCACACACAATTTTCTATTTAAAATTACTTTTCACCGATATGTGATCTTTTAAATATAATAATAATTGCATGTAGGCTAGTTATTGTATATGCTAGAAGTTCCCAGAAAAACAACAGAAAGAGATATTTATTCCTCAACACTTTTATATATTATTACCGATAAGTGATTAAGACATACATTTGAATTTTAGTCGAGGTAAATAATAGTAGTGCATCTCGATAGAACACAATATATAGGATCAAAAAGTATATTACACTTGCAGACATTGTTCAATAAATCAATAGCATTTGATTTTTCGAACTAGAACGACATTGTCGGTGAACAAGTTCAACAGCTGCAACAAGTCAAACAGAATATCCTCTCAAAGTGGAAACTTTGAATGTTAAAATACAATTTAATTTAGATGGTACGTACTCTTGCATGTATCATATAAATAAACATGTCACTAAAGATGTCTTTGAAGGAATTGTTATAGCCAAGTGTTCTCCAGTAAAACACATTTTTAGTATTAATATATTACATGTAATGGTCCGTGATGTGATTCCCTTCATATTTCTTCACTTTTTGTCTGTCTCAAACTTCTTTTTTTTTGTCTAGGTATTATTCCGCGTTTTTTCAAAACATTGCTCTAATTAACGCCTAACTGTAGCAAAACAAGTTGTTCTCGATCAATAGTATGCCTCAAAAGCAGTTATTGATAAGTCACTGTCATACTTCTAGACTTTCTTATAGTGGTTAAATCTTAAGTTTCAAAAAAATATTGTTTCATCTTTTACTATGAAGGTACCGATTCGAACTAAATGATATATCACTACAATCTCTCGATAGGGTGAAACTAAATTTTCAATTGTCTGTACATATTTATTCGAATTCCAAATAATATCTATGTTAGTTGACTACCATACTGATATATTGAAGAAAATTATTAATTTGACTTATGAGTGTTTTTCATACTATCCATAAGGAAACATAGGTTATACTGTGAACTAATTCTATCATTACTTTCGAGTAACAGTATAGAATTAACTCTGTTTCGACGGTTCTCTTCCGAAATGATTCTTTATGGGTGCCATCGGAAAAGCCTACTTGTTTAGATGAAATATCGATATCCTGGTAGCTTAACACTAATCGAGCATCAACAGCACAAATTTCCATTACAATCTATAGGCAGTAATATAAAGTTCACCTATTTTCATCATATAACCCACAATTTTAGTGATGATCTTTTCACTTGCTTTTTTCCTATTTGATATAGTCTATACTTTACAATATTTCATTTCTTCGAGATAACAAAAAGCTTCAATGCTTTTCCTTTTTAAATTCGATATCTAGAATACGTGCAAACTTTCTCTGATAGATTTATAACATAATTTTTATTCTACAACCTAGAACTAATTTGATTACCAATTATCATGTCTAATAATCGTAATAATGAACAGCTACAACACAATGTAGAAGATCGTCAGCGAAAGTTACCCTTATCTGCTCCCACCGCATCTCATCAAGAACAAATAGAACTTAATCAACGACAATATCAATCCCAATTTATTCAACAACGTCTACCACAACTGCAATCAGCTCAAGGATTACAGCAAGAGCAAGAACAAAAAAAAGACAAACACCAGAAGAAAAAATCTCGAGGTGATCGTAAACGCCAACGCTATAGAGCAAAACTTCGAAAACGGGGTTTAAATGATGAAGAAATTACAGCTTTAATCAATACTTATAATAACGGTAATCAAGGTCAAGATGATGGACAATCTACACTTCATGATATGAACGTGGAACTTCTTATACCGGTACGTCATCAGGTAGGATCAATATCGAATAAAAATTTAACTCTAAATAATTATTTTATTTGTGGTTAAAACCATAGCAGGAAATGTTAGAAAATGAAAATGTTATACAAACAACATCTGTTAAACGTAAAAGAGAAACAAGACCAATAGGTATCACAACATCACTGAGTCAAATGTCAATTGCAAATCTTCCAAAGAAACGACAACGTCCTCCGATTATGGCTAATATTGGAGAAGAGAAGGAGATTGGCAAAACAAGATCAAATAATAAACCTAAATATTTAAAAGTACCCGATCAAATATTCAAAGACATGCTGTCAAAATCATTGGCATGTGCAGAGAGTATTGTTCAATTGCTAGATACACCTGAAAAATTACAATTCGTTCGTACATATGCTGATATACTTAATAATGTGTTTTATCTCAAATTAGAAAAAGATTTTTGGGAACATTATAATACAGTATGCATTTCTGAAGCCATATGGTCTTCATGTTTGACGAAAGAATATGCTCAAGTAAATAATCTGTGTCGATTCAAATTTAAAACAAAAGCTCAAATTGAAAAACATTGTAAACTGATTTTGAATCGCCTTCAAGAAGCGGAAAACAATTTAACTAAACACAAACAACAGCCAATAAATGAATTAATTGATATGAATACATTGTCAACAATGATTACTGCTTTTGTTCGTCAAGGTCAACATAAATTAACTGCAGAATTTGACCAGAAAAAATTAATATTACAATTTGATGCTAATGATCATCGTTTGGTTAAAACATTTTACAATTTTAGCCCAAATGAAAATCAGGTATAGATAATAGATGTACTTTTAACAATAGTATACAAAAATATCATTGTTTAGATTCGTTCGGCGAAAATTATCTGGCAAGCCACAAAAGACAAATTGCTAGCTGACGAGCAGGTAGCCATTCTTAAACAACGCATCTATACGAAACGATTACCTCCATCTTTTGCTGTTCTTGATCATTCAATTGATAATATGGAGAATATGTTGAAACAGCCAGCACTCAATAACGATAAACGTGCCACATTATCATATCGTCGACTTAAAACAATTGCTCAATTCAAATACGATATGATGATACTTACTATTTCAACTGCCGAAGAGACAGTTCGAAGTCACGCGAATATCATTGCCAATGAAAAGAAGAAATTAATTGATACTGCTGGTGGACAAGTACCTCTTCCAAAACCACTCGTCCAACTAATGAATACTATTGCAGCACGTCAAAGTAATATGGTACAACGTTCTCAACATATCATTAAACAAAAATTATCGGTTTTCGACGACGCTCCGGTGGCAATAAACATGGCTGGTCCCACCGGAGCAATATAATCGATATTTTCAGTCATATTCTTCCATCATCACCTATCATCGAAGTAGCTTCTTCTCTTAAATCGAAACAAGTCACTTACGTTACCAAAGGTCCTAAATATGTACCACCATGCCAAAGTCGCTTTTCGGGTCAAACTGTGGATAAATTTGTTACACGGGAATATGATAATATTGTTCAATGTTTTGAAAATGGTCTTACAAAAAATTGTATTTCATATTCGGATCCACGAGCGAAAGACTTCTTTATAGCTGTAGAAAATCTTATTCGCCGTTTCTATGCTACTCCATTACCTCGAAAATTATTCACTCGTGCTCAAAATGAATATCGAATGATCAAAAGTATCCAGCGTCAACTCAAAAAGTCCAATGTTATTTTACGAATAACTGACAAAAGTAAAGTATTTCATTTGGGTAGTGTTTATGATTATAGTCAAAAAGCACTACAATATATGCATGAAACCAATGCCTATAGAGAAATAACAAGTGGTATTAATCCATGTCAGAATCATGTACAAACAGTCCTGGCATTAATAGATCCGATGTTGAAAAAAAGAGAGATTAATCGTGAAATATGGAAACAATATATGCGACCAAATGTAACCACAACTGAATTAGCTCATTTATACTTTATACCAAAGCCACACAAGGTAAATTTCCGAAAGAATAATTTCCATATATATATGTGTGTTCTTTTCTATCTTCTATCCTTTCTCTCTCTAGATTGGTACACCATTGCGACCGATTGTGTCGTCAATAAAAGCAGCAGCAACTGGTGTTTCACACTTCTTAGATATTTTACTTCGTCCCATGTTTAACCGAGTAGCAAAGCAAACTACATTTCTGAATGGAATTGACTTCGTTCGACAAATGGAAACTTACCGAAATAGTGGTCGACTCTTGCCAACAACACTGTTTGTTACTTTCGATGTGACAAATCTCTATACGATGATACCTCGTGATGGAGCTATATTCGCTTTACAAAAATTCTTACACAAACATGGAGAAAATCGTCGAATTCATGGAATGACAATCGATACTATAACGCGGCTTGCCCGTCTAGTTTTAGATACAAATTGTTTCGTCTACGAAAAGAAATATTATCAACAAATTCGTGGTGGAGCTATGGGATCACCATTTACAATGACATTAGCTAATATTTATATGTGGGAATGGGAACAATCATTAATTGAACATCAGAAAGTACACAATGAACTCTATGGCCGGTAAGTTGTACATTCGGCTTTATCTTATATACTCTAGTTTTCGCTTTTACTTTTTCTTTTTTCTCAATAGTTATATCGATGATGTCTTTATGACCACTAATTTGTCGCTTGATCAAATCAAGATACGACTCAACATAGCCGATGAACAAGATGAAAACATCCGAATAACTCATACAATTGGTTCAACTGTGGAATTTCTCGATGTACTAGTCGAAAATAATCATGGACAACTGAAAACTTCAGTATTCCATAAACCAGCAGCTGAACCATATATTCTACCATTTTTATCGGATCATCCACGTCATATTCATCGCAGTACTGCCAAATCACAACTACTTCGAGCGGCACGTCTCTGTTCTCATGTAGAAGATTTCGACAGAGAACGATTGAATATTGAATTCACTTTGTTGTTGAATGACTACCCACTAAAGTTTATTGCTTATTAATTTAAAAAATTTTTTCATACGAATAATGTTTTGTCCTTAATGGAACAATTGGATGAAGTCGTATATGGAGAATTGCACAGGCAGGTATTATATCAAGCAACACGTCGAGAAAAACAACAAGAACAAGGACAACTGGGTATGACATCTAATGCCAATCAACAAGCAAACTCAAATCAAAATGATATTTTTGTCCATTTCACTTTCGAAAGTGGTCCAATGTTAAATTTCAAGCAAGATTTAAAGAATCTCTGGAAAAAACATTACATTGATAACAATCCAATAAAACACAATATTCGCTTGAAGATTGGTACCAGAAGTAATAAAAATCTAAACCAACTACTCGTTAAGAAAAAGCCACCAAAAGCAATGTTAATGAATGTGATACCATAAGACGCAACAACTGGAACAACAATGATTAGTAGACAAAATTTATTCTATACCATTGTGCAAACACATACATCTAAAGATATTAACAAGTCACCAAATAGACATTTCATTTACTCTGACTATTGCTCTTTTGTATAGTTCACATTTTTATTCATAGCCTTTCGTTCTTACACAAAATAATCGTGTTTAACATAGAAAATTTTCATTTCTTTATTATTCTAGATATACACTAGTCTATTTACCTTCGTTGAACAATACTATTTTACCTACGAGCAGAGATCAATTCGTTTAATGTAAGTATCATCATCAAAAATACGTTTAATGATCGAATATTTTTTCTTTGTTTAAGAATGAGTATGGAAAACAGCCAACCGTGTCATACTCCGTCAGAACTATTGAATACACTCAATGCAAGCCAATCTAATATTGATCAACTATTATCGGTTGGAATCGTAACTACAAGTCAGCCATCATCGATACAATTCAATTCGACAAATATGATTTCAGATATTCAAGAAAACGATCGTCGTACTGGAACACAACATGCGGGACAAGAACAACGACATCAACAAACACAAGCACGACGACAACCACAACAACAAGAAGAACGGCAACGTTTACGACAACAACAGCAACAAGAACAGCGTGAACGGCAACGTCAACGCCAAGAAAGAAATCAACGACGATATGAGCGATGGCAAGAACGCGTAGCTCAACGACAACAGGAACGAAATCGACAAGAACAAGAAGAACACGAGCACTACGCATACTTGCAGCGACGCTCGCCTAACTTTGACGAACTGATGGACGATATACTCGGAGAACGAGAGTTGGAAGAGTACTCTTTAGAAAGAATGACTCCACAAGACAGACGGGAAGTTTGGGAACAAGAACATTTAAATCAACTACAAGGAAACCCAACATCTCGAGCGCACGGATTACCACTAGACGATACAGAACGGTATGCAAAATTTCTTCATGACCAACTGTGGCAGGATCAACATGATCAAACAATGCGAGTCTACGACATGGAAAACAACGACTATGCAAAACAATGCAGAAGAAACCAGGAATTACTTAGACAAAAAGAAGAATGGGACGAACTAGCATCTCGTCATCAACAATTATAAAAAAAACAGTTCAAAATCCAATAATCTCATAATATACCGCTGATTTTTCCGCCTAAATGAAATATTCCCATATCATAAAGCTTTTCCAAAATAAAATACATCAAATTCCCCTCAATGATTAACGTCTTTTCATTACTTCTATTTCAGATAATTTGCTAACGTCCATCAGCATAAAATGCCTTACAACAGCACAATTTCCATAAAACAATTCCACTATGACAAACCAACAATTTAACCACTATTAACACCTCACACAAAAAAATTATTCATCATTCTATTCCAGAACCAAATAATCAAATACACATCTAGACTATTCATATTCTGCTACAACCAAACATCCAATTAAATAACGGTGAGTAATACATAAATACCTTAACAGTCAGCACTCCCATCACTTCCTATTTGACGAATCTCTCTAGTTCTATTTCTAACAATCAAACTCATTGTAGACACCCAGCTCTTGATTACACGCCACATATGAAACGATAGTAAAAAACCGTACGCGTCTGACACCTTCTACTACATACTCACCAAAAACACCATCAACAGATTTCGTAGGGCTTATATTCAAAATTACTTCTTCTTAAAGACTATGCAGTGCTAAAGCTACCTGATGATTCCCTTGAGAAAGGATGAAACTAGTAGTAGTATTTTCTTATAATATTATACACACCCGTGTAAGTTTCTAAGAA